TCCACTTGCAATGGTTATGACTAAAAATATTGTAAATATAATTAATTGTTAAAATTAATATACAAAGAATAATAAATTATTGTAATAATACATAGCGTCCAAGAGTCCAATCGCCTTTATGGACTTGAGCATGCTATGGGTATGTTTCAATGAGACATAGCAGTAGCAGAAGATTCGGTGTATTGGGTAGAGGTGGTTTGTCTTAAAAAGAAGATATACACAACTCTACAGCAGCTCATATTGCTTCACAGCAATGTGAGTGATTATTGTTGTAGGTAAGATAACGCAGTAGCTTCATGTGCTATAGATACATATTAGCAAATAGGTAGAAATGTGAGAGATTCCATGAGATTTATTTTTATTTAATTTAATTTACTTTTATTTAATATTATTTTAACTTATTTAATTTTTATTAATTTTATTTAATTGTATTTTATTTAATTTTACTTAATTTTATTTAATTTTACTAAATTTTATTTAATTTTACTTAATTTTAACTTAATTTTAATATAATTTTATTTAATTTTTTTAATTTCTTTATAAATTTTTACAATTTTATGTAATTTTATTTAATTTTATATTATTTTTGTTAATTACATTTAATACTTTATTTGATTTAATTTTATTTTTATAATTTTTATAAGTTTTTATAATTTTTTGTAATTTGATTTAGTTTAATTTAATTTTATTTAATTTTACTTATTTTTACTTAATTATATTTAATTTTATTAAATTGTATTGTTTTTTATAAATTTTATATAATTTTATTTTATTTCATACAAATATTTTAATATGTAAATTACTTAATTAATATGTTAAATACCAGATGAAGAGTTTTTTGCCCAAGAAAAATAATTATAAATCCTGCGATTAGTGCTGAATTCTTCTTCTTCTTTCAGTACCGTGTAAGATTATTGAACGTTGGCGATCATATTGGCAATAATCACTTTGTTTACGGCGGCTCTAAATAAATTAGCGGTGGTCTCTACCATTCTCGGAGATTTCGGAGCCAGGATTCAAAGATCTCCAATTTTTACATTAATATCTTTCTAAGGGTCCAGCTCTCCATACCATACAGCAATGTGAAGAAAATGTAG